TGTCATCTTGGGGGACACTGTATTGGAAATGACAGGCTGCTGGGCATAGGCCCATAACAAGCAACCAGAACAGAGGTGAGTGTCCAGCTCCATGTTGTTAAGTCACTGGTCTTCTGGGACAACCCTCTGATGACAGGGAATAGAAAGGGGCACCCCCAAATTAGTTAGAATAATTCTCTCTTTAATCCAGAGTTTAAGGCAGTGGTGGTCAATGGACCCATCCGATCAAGATCCTTCCCTGACTTTTGTCAGTATGTACTCTGGGAGAGCCACTTTACTTCTTCGAGCCTCATTTCCTCTGTGACCCTGAATGAGGAATGTTCACACCTCCCTCTGAGATGGCTCAGATGACAATGACATAACAAGTTCACAGCATGGCACCTGGTCTGCAGTGGGCAGATGCATGTCAAATATTAAGGGAAAATGGAGAAGCTGGACCACCTGGTGCCTGCAGGTGTCTGGGGCAGGGGACTGCCATGTGGGCTAGTCAGCCTCCATTTCCCACAGTTTGGTCCTGGTCCCCTCCATATTGAGATAGTCCAGCAGGGCTTGCTCCCCACAGATCCCTTTCCCAGAAAATATGGGAGTAGAGGCCAGGTCCTGAGGGGGCTGAGGGCCTAGGCACAGGCACAATTCCAGCCGCCTTGGCTCCTGGCACGTAATGACTCCTGAGAATTTCTGATAACCTGATACAGTCCATGGCCAAGACTGGTTACTGCCATGGAAGACGAGCCTCAAAAGACTTCTCCAAGGCTGCATGGACAGCCTCTTGAGACTCAGGCTGGTTGTGCCTGGCATGAAGATCCAAGTCCTTTCCCCAGCACTGTGAGGTCACCACTGTGAGCAAGGCTCTGCACACTGGGCGGGCAGTGGCCAGTCACCTGGGTGCCGGCCCTCGAGGACCAACCTGTTTATAAGAACTGTAGCACAGTGATAAATAATTTCATTGGTATTCTGCTTTTCAAAGGTGAGGAATTAAAGGAAAATACTATGAAGGACTAAAAAATCACAGCTGGAAGAAACAGTTTAGTTTAATTCAACCACATATACTTCCCTTGTAGGGACCACAGGGGTCTCCACCCAGACAGGAGGCAGTTCATCCAACCCTGCGTTTCTCTCACGCAGCCTGCACTGCTGCTCTGTTCCCTGGGCTCAGGAAGATGTAAGAAGGACCTACCGGTGGTGGGAGAACCTTGGATTATCCGGTGGGCCAGATGCAATCATAAGGGTCCTCATAGGGGGAAAGCAGGAGGTCAGAGAGAGGTTACCCTGGCTGGCTTTGAAGACAGAGAGAGGCCACAAGCCAAGGAATGTAGGTGGCTTCTAAGAGACTCCAGGAGGAACTAACTTTGGTTTTAGCCCTGGTAAGACTCTCATAGCTAAGACCTCTAGAGCTATAAGAGAATAAACATGGATTGCTCTAGGCCAATGTTTGTGGAAACTTGCTACAACAGTAATAGGGAATTAATCCAGTTCCCAGATTTTGAACACTACCTTCTATTTAAACATACCTGTCTTATCACTACTGCTATGGAATCTTGCTCCCTGATCTGTGATTGTGCAATAAAATTGGGCAGAGAAATTACCCCTGCCAGGAAAAATTGGGTGCCTTTACTGGGTGTGATCACTTTCCCACTAAGAAGACCTTAGGAGTGGGGCTAACAGTAAGAATTGTATCATGGCGTACATGTGATGTTTGACGGGGTGGAAGGGGATAGAGGCGCCCTCTTCCTCATTACATATGAGTGTAAATTACGCACTGCCTCACCTATTATTCAAGGTCCTCAGCAGTCAACCCCAACCTACCAAAGGCCAATGCATACTCCAACATTACTGACAGACTAGGAGAAAATGTCTGAAGGTCTTGACGATTATGCCCCAGTGAGTCCCCCTGGAAAACCCTGTGGCCTTTCCTTTGTACACTCACCAGGCTCCTTCTAGAATAAAATTATTTCATGGCCTTTCTAGCAAGCAGTGCTTCAGCACCTGCTTGAATTTCTCTAGCAACAGGGCAGTCAGTCACTGCCAGCAGGCCAGCACTGAGGGACAGTGCTATGGTTTGAGTAGGCCTTATCCCTTTAGAAGTTTAATCTAATAGTGAGGTACTAAGAGGGTAGATGCTTAATTGGACTATCATGCTTAGAGGTGGGGCATCTGGGGTGTGATTAGGAGAGGTCGTCAGGGTGGAGCCCTCATGATTGAATACTGGTGGCTTTATAGGGAGAGAAACCAGAGGACAGACAAATTCATTCTCTCTCTCTCTCTAAGCTGTTTCAGGACTCCGCCTGCTAGAAGGTCATCATCAGATGCGACCCCTCAATCATTAGCACTTGGAAACAAAAATCAACCTCTTTTCTTTATAACTTACCCAGTCTGTGATATTATATTATTGGCAACAGGAAACAGACTCAGGTCAGTGGTAAGTCCTTTCTTTGAGAGGCAGATGTAACTTGTGGGCCTGGGCCAGTTTCTGTCCTCTAGGATGACAGGAGCCTGTTATTCCCTCCACCAGATGCTATCCTAAACCTGACCAGGATGCCACCAGCCTTGGCCCTTCACCTAATGGCAAAATTTTTGACTTTTTAAACCAAGTTCTGATAAAAAAAAAAAAATGCAGAGGGATTCAGCCTCAGGAATGTCCTGAAACTGATCACTCAGGACCTTGAGTCACAGAGGTCTTGCCAGCCACAGATCCTCCTCAAAATGCTTTATTATTGTGCCTACTTTTCCTCATTGTCTACAGGACAATGAGAAGAAAATGTGCTATGTGGCATGTAAAACATACTAATATATTTATTTATTAAAACACCACAACAGTAAAGCCTCTGGCTTGCTGTGATGGTTTAGATATGGAATGTTCCCCAAAAGCTCATATATTGACGGTGATGTAGGGAAGTTCAGAGGTGGGACTCATTAGTGGATTAATCCATTTGAAGGATTAATTATTTGAATAGACTACTGGAATGATACCTATAGGCAGATGGGGCATGTTGGAGGAAGTAGGTCACTGAGGATGTGCCCTTGGGGACTGTATCTTGTACCTGGTCCCCCCACTCTCTCTCTGTGTCTTTGCTGCCATGAGCTGAGCAGCTTTCCTTTGCCACGCCTTCCCCCCCCCCATGATGTTCTGCCCCTAGTCAAGCCCAAGGCAATGGAGTTGGCTGACCATGAACTAAATCCTCTGAAATTATGAGGCAAAATAAGTCTTTCCTACTCTAAGTTGTTCTTGTTGGGTATTTTGGCCACAGCAAAAAAAAAAAAAAAAAAAAAAAAAAAGCTGATAAACACACTTATTGAAGTCTTGTCTTCCTCCTACATTATTGAGGAGGTTTCAGGACTCAGGAGACTCCTGGTTCCTGAGATATGGTCCAGTCTTCTGGAAAGGAACTCCAGCAGGAATTTATAGCCTCTTTCAAATCTCAGCTGTGACATAACTGATGGACCACTTTTTCCTTTTTTCCTGTCAATATTTTTAAAGCATCTAGGGATCCTATCAACACACCACTATTTATGGAAGTGGATCCATCCTGCAGTTGCCAGCTACAAAAGTTCCTGAGCAAGAAGGAAACTGTCTCAGAGAAGGCAGAACAGCGGCTGTCCTGGGGAAAGACTCCAGCTGATAATGGGCTCCAAATGTCTTGGCACCAGCAAGGATTTTGTTTGAAAATGTGTCCTTGTGTTTATGGCTGTTCAGTATGTGCTTGGGTGTATTCATTTCACACCCCCTCCTCCTAATCTCAGACACAATGTCTATCAGGAATGTCTATCAGGGAATGCCTGCCAGTGTCCTTGTAGCTTCAGAAAAAACAAACAAACAAAAACCACACCATTGATCAACTACAATGCCTTCATTTGTTTTTTATATTTTAAATCTCTTGGTGGTTTTCATTTACTTTGTAAAGAGGTATTGATTTAAGAACAGTGTGCAGTGTGTGGATCCAGGCTGAGGATGCAGAGGCACATGTATCTTCTTTTACACGCTATAGCAGGCACAGGCCAAGGGTCTGACTCACTCACCCACCTAATGGTGGGCTTCCCATCACCTCTGTTGAGAACCATCACCTGCCTCTGAGGGTAGCCAGGAGCAGTTAATGATCACATCTGGTATCAATAGACACCTTCCAGCTCCCTGGACCTGTCCCTCTGGCAGTGTACTTTATAGAGTCAGTGTCCCTGATTGACTGCAAGAACTTTAGTAGCAAGGAGTGGGAATAGTTTCTAGACTCTGGGCAGAAGGTTTAGAGGAACAGGTATCTGAGACGGAGAGATGCAACTGTTGCTGCCCAGGGGGAGGAAATACCTAGGTGTTTGTGTGGGACGCTGTAGTTTAGATCCTAAGTGTCCCCTAAAGCCCAGGTGACAAAATCTTGCTCCCCAAGATGGCACTACGGGGAGGTGATCAAGGCTTTAAGTGGGGTTTAGTGGGAGGTCTTTTGGCCATTAGGAGCATGCCCTTGGAAGGGATTGAGGGACCCCACCCACTTTTTTTCCTCTTCTTGGTCTTGGGGCAAACAGCTGTGATCTGCTACCCATTCTTACCATAATGTGCTGCCTCACCACAGGCCTAAAAGCAGTGGGACCAACCATGGACTGAAAGCACAAACCAAAGTAATCCTTTTTTCTTTATAAGTTGATTATCTCAGGTATATGTTACAGTAACGAAGAGCTAAAACATTTTAGGAAAAGTGTAATGCCCTTTGAAAGAAACTGCTGTCACCATCTCCCTTTGTCCTCTGTGCTCACTGGGATGGAAGGAGAAATGGAGCCCTCAAGATCTGAAATAGAACCCTACAGGCAGGAAGGGACAGCCAGAAGAGAACCTACCCTCCATACGACCATTATATAGTCTTCCTGCCAGGATAAGGCCTGCAAAGTTCCAGGTAAGTTGCTGCCCCTCAGCCAATAAGGGCAGCTTGAGTTTCACTTCCATTTCAGTTCCCTTCCCCTCCCAGAGCCTCTGCAAGACATGCCCATTGTAGGAACCAGCTCTGGCAATAAAATAATGAATCATAAATTTTATTCAAAATGTAAACGTCACTAAACATGCATACATGTTAAAACAATAAAATTTACAATTTCGTTAATTTTTTTTTTGCATAGGACATCATTACAATATAGAATCTATGCCTTACAAAATACATACAAAGTTTAATCCGAGCAAGCCAAGGCCAGATTGGGAACTGTACAACTGTAATACTTCACTGTAGTGATCCAGAAAAGATGAAATGTGGCCTTCGGAAGCATGGTGGGGAATTGGTTTTAAAAAACAACAAAAACAAAACAATATTTCTACAGAAAAGGAAATTGTGAACTCGATGGAAATGGTGTTGGACCCTTGGATTCTGCCTTGGGATTTTGGCAAATGATTCCAGAGAAGCTCCACCGATGGTTTTGGGTGGGAAAGGGTCACTTGGGTGTACCCAGTGTAACTACCCAAGCAGTTCCTGGTCACCAGGGAGCCACGGTAAGCAGCTCCAAACCCACCAATGCATAGTTGCTCAGTAGAGAGCCCCATGCTGACATTGATGGGGGTCCTCAGCACTGGGCACCTGAGGCTTCTCCCAGGTGAGGGAGGGGAAAAGTCTCCCACTCAGACACCCACAGACACTGACTGGAGAAGAGACACTGGGGTTGATAACACCCCATTATGGTGCCTGTGCCAAGCTGGGAAGAGGGGGAGCGTGGAAATGTGGAGAGGGATCTTCCAAGCACAAGGAATAGGCTCCTGTGCTGAGTGGAAGGGACAAACTGACCAGTGATGGTCTCCTGCAAGCATTCAGCTTGCACACTGGTTTCCAAACAAGCATGTGCAGTAATCAGTCAACAGGTCCTCTAGGAGGGCATCAGTGAGAAAAGACTCCAGAGTCCCCAGGAGAAAGTTGCACGTGCATCCATCCTGTCCCCTTTCTGACTTCCTGTCCCATTCCACCTGCCCCCATCCTGGAATGTATGATGTAGGGCAGGGGAGGCTGCCTCTCTCCCATCCTGTTTATTTTTAAATAAAAGTAGTAATGTTTTAAAGCTGTATTGAGAAGGGAGAGGCTGGGCAAAGCCAGGTGGCTACACTGCAAGTCCAATAGTGGTAGGGGCTAGTAGAAACCTCTTCCCTCCTGGACACAGGGCTCCTGCCTGATTCCACTCTTCTCAGGGCTAGAGCCAGCCAACAGGAGGAAGGGTCTCTCCCTCAATGGTGTTCAGGCATCTATCAGTAGTAAGCTGGACTACATCCAAATTCTGGTACAAAATTCTCTGGAATGTGTCCAGGACAAATCTTTGAAACTTCAGAATCAGGAAAATTAGCCACAGGACCTGGCTCTTCCAGGGGCTACTTTGCTTTCAAAACCTATCAGCCCACATCGGCATTTTAGCTTTGGAAGATATAGTCTTCAGGATGACATACAGAAATGTTGGGTAGCAAAAGATATGGTTAACTTATTAAGCATTTCTTATCATTCAAAATGTGTCTAATACATCAAGCTCTTTAAAACTTCCAGCAGTTTTGACCAAATGGCCTTTTTAAACATGGGTTTAAAAAAAAAAAATCAGTGACACCTCTCAGAAATCAAAATAATCAGGTAGCCTTGTTAAAAAAAAAAAAAAAACAGGAGCTGAGAAACGAGGCCACACTATTGCCCAGATCACATCTTCCTGTAGGGTAGCGTATCTGCCCAGCGGAGATCCTGGATGAGATCCTAGGAAGTGCTAAAACCCTGTGCAGTACATTTAAGTATCTGCTTCTGGCAAGAAAGAGGCTGGGCCACATGACTGGGAGACAGAAATCTTGAATGAAGACCCAGTAGTTCTTCTACCACTCACTCAGGACCTCAGAAAGCCACCAACCCTCTCTACTCATCCTCACCTCTGAATCATCCTCCAGGGATCTGAGCCCTTGCTCAGGTGAGGTCTGGGGTCACCAGTGTGCGGAGGTCTGCACCTGGAGGCTGCACCGTGGCAAATCCTGCACCTACCCCGATGCATGGCCTCAAAGTAGAGGTGGGTGTGTTGGAGGGGGGCAATCTTGCACCTCAAATCCCATGGGTGGAGAGTGCAGCAAGATGCATAGGGGCATATCCAGGACCACATTCTCTTCCAGAACATCACTGCCCATCTCTGTGTAGCACCCATCAGGAGAGGACTCCAAGGCCCTTTGTGGAAAGGGCTGTGTTGTCTGTTTTTCCATATGGCTGTAGGATTCAGTAGGCATTTGGGGAGTTTACAACCATTCCCCTAATATGGCTGACAAGGGGTTTTCTTGTTTGGGACATGAGCCGAACACCAGCCTTCTGATGGCTGGGTCCAGTCACTTTTAGACGTCTTTTTTTTTTTTTTTTTTTTTTTTTTAATTTAAGGGAAACTCTCCCTTTACTCAGGCACCCTTCATTTTGAGATCTCTGCCTCTGTGGCCTGCTAGAGCTGAAGTATGTCCCCAAATAAAGATTTGATTTTTCACTATTATTCTGGGAGCCCTATGGGTTCCTTAATCCCACTGAAACCAGCAATCATGGCCATAAACTACAAAAATGAAAGACCCTGAAGTAGACCCAGGCTGGGAAGACAATCTACATCTTAGAAGGCATCCCTCGTTTCATGATGAGATGGAAACCTGCTAATGAGAACCCATGTGAACTGAGCCTGAGATTTAGATTCTTCCCCCCCACCCTTCAATGAGATGAATTTAAGCCCCAGATGATTCTGGAGGGTGCAGCCAGGATGCCCAGGGGGGAACTCCCTCCGGGTGCCCTGCCCCCATCTCCCAGGCCAGGCCTATGGCTGAAGGACCGCACCCTGCCATTACAGGAGAACCACTTTGGGAATGAAGACACACTCATTTGCCAAAAATAGCCAATGCCTGCATATTTCTGTTTTAAGGCAATATTACCCTTCCATCTATCAGATGGAACAGCCCTGGGTCATTTAGAGGGAAAATTAAATTAAGTGCTCTCTTTGGAAACAGCCTATCCCACTTTCCCTCCCCCACCCCCCACCCCACTCTAAAACAAACCAGCTCTTTCTTTTATTCCAATATGACTGGGTTTAGAGTTCTTTTTCCCCTTCCTATGTGCAGACAGATGTGAAGTTAGAAAACCCCTTGTGACGCTGTAGGCAAGTCACAAGGAGACACCTGGCTCCTCCAGTGGAGAGTGCTTTTCTGGCCGTGTGGGACATGCCACTCCCTCTCCCTGCCTTCGGAACCATAAACACGGGTGCACCAAAGGACTTTGGAATAAAATTCCTGAACCTGGAATGTGAATTCCTGAGACATGAAATGTGGTCAGAGTGTGGCTTTCTCTGCCTCACACAGAAACAACTTTGGGAGGGACCTCACTTTGGAACCAGACATGAAGATTGCCACATCCCCAGCATCCAGGGCTCTCTTCTTCAAGGTCCATACCACATATTCTACTCTCTCCCAAACCAAATGCAAGCTGAGCTATTATAGGGCCCAAAGGCAGCAGGGGGGCCAGAGGGGCCGAATCTGCACTAACGAGATAGCCCCTGCCCCACCATCCCCACCCACAGCACAAACAATGTCACAGACCAAATGGGTACCTACTGTGCTACACAGAAGCCACCACATGCCATTAGCCACTTCCAGATAAGTAGAGCTGGAAACAGGTATCCATAGCATCACAGATGGCATGGTGCCACGTGCACAGCTGCTGTAGATAGAGGGCACCCATCCACTCTGAAGTTGGCATGACACATCAGCCAGAAGCTACAGGCTCCAGCTGGGCCTGGATCGCTGGGGTTTTTCTGTGCTGCACCCCACACAATGTGTGGGCTGGGATGGAAGCAGAATGACTACAACCAAGGCACTCTGGGCCTAGGAAGCCCATCTATGGCCCACTGAGTCCCAAGGGCCATTCCTCATCAAAGTGAGAGATCTCTGCAAGATACTATAACCCGAGTTCATCCCAACTCATCCCAACACAATACACACACACACACACACACACACACACACACACACACACACACACACTCTGTCCTGGGGCCTTGTATTTACAGGCCCCAACCCTTGAAAGGAAGGCAAGGCGCAACATGGGCCTTGCAGGGCTAGGCTGGACACTCCACAGGTCTGCAGAGGTGCTTGCTGGAATCCAGCCTAACTGCCCTGGTCTGGGGCTTGAACACCAACCCAGCCCAGGTCAAGGCTTCATAAGAAACTGCCTCAGCTCTCTGCTTTTCCTCCCCTACCAAAAGGCTGGCAATGGGGCGATGCAGGCTAGGCGTGGCCTGGGGTCTCCAGGCAGGGTAGGCAGAAGCAAGAGGGAAAGGGAGATAAGTTCTGGCGACGAGAAGCTGGAGGTTTGCTCAGTCTGTACCACCAGACATGAAGGGTCTGAGAAAAGTGTTTCCCACAACTTTCCGTCTGGTGTTCCCTGGGGAGAAAAGAGAATGCACATTCTCCAACAGCACTTCCCATGACATTGGCTGCGCCACTCTTGAAAAGTTCCGAGTCACAATGTTCTGGTCTTTTGCCACTGAACGGTCTCTGTGAAGTGCTGCGAACACATGCACACACATGGCCACTCACATAGACCTTCTGACTGAGAAAGCAACATGATGGTCTTGCCCACTGTTTCAAACAAAGGTGACTCCATAGCAGCATGGGAGAGCTAGGGAACTGGGTACACCGACACTTCATAAAATCATTTTAGAAAACCAGAATTCCCAGGCTCTATTTTCCAGTCAGAGAATATGGTATAATAGTGAAGGTCCCTGGTGCTGTCTGTTGGGCAGTGGGGGCCCAGACAGGTGGAACCCAGGCTGTCTCCTTAGAGACTGGATGGTGTGATGTTGTGCCCAGCCAGGGCTTGTGTCTCTGCTTCCATTTTTCCAAGGGGCCCAGGAGAGGACTCCTGAAGGTAGGGAGTGAGACAGGCAGTGCCAGTCATGGAGGGCAGATGACACTCTCCACAATTTCCCCAAGTGGAGTGCTCCTTTGACCTGTCATGGCTTAAGGCATCCCTCGTTAGGTGGCCTGTCCCTCAGACCCATCTGCATTTTGAGCCAAGCCTATGTGGCCAAGGATGGAGGCTGAGTGGATGGGTAGAAGGGAGGGGGAGGACACGCCTCACCACTAAAAGATCTGCCTTGGAATCACAAATGTCAGTGACCACATCTACTCCCAGCTGATGGACTGACCCACATGCATGCTGAGCTCCACCTGCACTGGTTGGCCTGCTCTGTCCCCAGTGTGTTCCCAAACCTAATAGAAAATTCCAGAGTGCAAATCTATGTACAGAGTAAGGCGGCAGGAAGGGGTGCCCTCACTGACCTCGTGGAACGTGTCCATCCCTGAGAAAGGGGGTTCGACACCGCTGAATCGCAACTTTGTGGGTATCTCCATTGTGCAATTTGTGGATGATGTTTTTTGAAATTTTTTTTTGTTTTTTTCTTCTTTTGATTTTTTTTTTGTTTTGCTTTTTTTTTTTTTTTTTTTTTTTTTTTTTTTTTTTTTTTTTTTTTTTTTTTTTACAAATTGACTTTGACACCTGAGGTGAAGAAAAGTGTTTTTACGTGGACTTTTCATGAAGTTCTTGCTCTTTTTTTCTTATTACAAAAGGAAAGGGCACGGACTGACAAAGAGGAGGTGAGAGCGGCTGCTCATGGCTGTTGTCAGGGTAGGGGTCCTTGGCTGGGCGCGGGGCTGGCGGAGGGACTGGCGGGGCTGTGCTGCTGTGGGTCCAGTGGGGCTCAGGGTGAACTGGCTGGGCTGATGGTGGGGCTGCTGGCATCAGAGCGGCTGTAGTCGCTGAGTGAGCCGGTCCGCGAGCCCCCACCACGCCGCTGCAGCATGCCGGGGTGGAAGTTGGCGTGGCGACGAGCATGCTTCGTCAGGTGATCGCTGCGCATGAAGCGCTTCTCGCAGATAGGGCAGCTGAACTTCTTCTCACCAGTGTGTGTGCGGTAGTGCCGTGCCAGCTCATCAGAGCGTGCGAACTTCTTGTTGCAGTCCTGCCAGCTGCAAGCAAAGGGCCTCTCACCTGTGGGGCGACAGAAGCAGAGGATCAGTCTCAGCGTGCACAGTGACACCTAGGATCTTCTGTATGTGTCCCTGCCCTCCCCCATGGCCAAGGTGTGTCCACTCACCATCCCCCAGAGTGGCTCTCTATCCCTACACTCCTGCTCCACTCCATCTCATTTACTATGACTTCTCATCAATGCCCCCTGCCCTATCTTCTTCATCTTCTGTGTCAAATACATCAGGGTAAAGGTGAAGGTGAACCATGGCCTCCAAGCCGCCACACTTGGGATGGAAGCAGATGACAGCTCCCAGGATAAAACAGCAGCATTTCCAGCATAGAAATTGTAGAGTATATGGTTTGTATATGGGCCAGGACTGGTGGTCCCTGGCATTGGACCCCCTAAGTATATGGCATCCAACATGCCCATGCAGGGTTAGCTCTCCCCAGCCCTAGGGGAGTGGGGGTATAGGCTCATGCTGTGGTTCCACCTGCTTGCAGGAGCCAAGTTGGCCCACACTGGCCCTATGGGAACCACACTTCAGCTCCCAGATCCCTGAACAGCAAGAAGACAATGTCTACACCTAAGAGTCCTGTCACCACTCCAACCTTCTCAGTTTCTTCAGTATGTAACATGAGGGGGTTAGTCTGGGCATTTTCCAGGGCCCAGCCTCCTCCTCTTTCTCTGAGAGAACTTTGTGTGGCTAGCCAACAAAGGCCAGCAGAGGAGACTTCAACAGGTTCCTGTTAGATTCGAGCATGGTAACAGATAGGGCGGTGGCCCAGAACACCCCAAAAGGGGCCTACACAGGTGGGGAGAAAGCAAACACAGTGAGCCCAGTTGGGAGGTCATGAAGATCAGTTTATAGTCAAGATTCTTCTCCTCTTCTCCCACACCTTGCTCAGAACATGAAACAGGCTTGCATTTACCAAAGCAAAACAAACAAAAAAAATCACATTAATTGTTTAAGGAGAATTGGTGTGGATGGGGGTGCTTTGGCACCTTTAGCCTTTCCAGCACTGGGACACAGTCACTCTTCCTCCCTCCTCTACACAGACCCTAAAGCAGACTGCCAGTCTTTGAAACTGGCCCACCTATGCTCAGCAGAGGAAATCCACACCACCCACACATCTTTAAATATAAAGATTTAAATATAAACAGACACTCAAGAATAGTCAGACAGCTAAGGAAAATCAGCAGCACAAAAGGGAAAGGCCAAGAACAACAAAATCACCAATTCCAGATGAAAAAGAGTGAAGCCAGGAAACAGAAGAGAAAGTTAACCTAACAATTCTAATTAGTAATTCTTTGAGGAACTGGAGACAAAATTTGATGCATAAAGCAAACAGAACACCACAGAGAACCATCACCACAACCACAACAAAAAATAACATTTAGAAATTGAAAATTTCACTGCTCAAACAAAAAATTCCATTAAAAAGCTGGAAATATATGCAAGGAAGCATCCCAGAAAATGTGAATGTTGCAGTGTTCTGTTTCCTAGTACTGCTGAAGCCCAGGTCTACGTGAGGCTGAATTTATTCTCATTATTTCTCTTCTTCTGGGGAAGGGTATTTAGGGGACTTTGAAAACCAAGTAGCCATCATCATTTCCCATATCTATTTGACAGTTAAATAGGAGGGGCTAAAAGTTGAAAGCTACAGGGAATTGATCCAGGAGGTCAATGTCTATCTAATAGAAGGTATGGATTGGGAAAATAGAGAAAAAAAAAAAGAGTACAAGAAATTACAACAAAATAAGATAGCTTTTGTTTGAGTTTAAAAAAGATAAAAGAGGGAGGGTGGGGAAGGAGAAGACATTAACCAAGTCAGGAGACTAACAAAGGTGGGCAGGGAAGTGAGGAAAGGTGGCCCCTGCTGTGAGAGAATCTCTGAAAAGTAAAAACACTGAGTAAAAAGAAGAGATCACAAAACTTAATAAACAGGGAAGGGAGAAACAAATACCAGGTTATCTATGAGGGAACAACTGCTGGAACAAATACCAGTCTTTTCCTAAGTCACAACCGATGCTAGAAGCAGATTAGGGACTTAAAAGTTTACATCTCACAGGCTCCAGCAAAAATGAGAGAAAACTGAGAAGCTAGAGACATGAGTAAATAGTGAAGGGGCATCTCAGGTCAAGAACAAGCTGAGGCCTCAGAGGCCACGAGAACAGTAGACCAGGGCTCACAGGAGGCTATTCCAGGAAGAAAGTGAGTTCTGTGTACCAGAAAGTAAACCAAGAAGCTGGATAAACTTTAGGACACAGGGAAAGCACGTTACTATTCTTTTTTTTTTTTTAAAGAGAGTGAGAGAGGAGAGAGAGAGAGAGAGAGAGAGAGAGAGAGAATTTTAATATTTATTTTTTAGTTCTCGGCAGACACAACATCTTTGTTGGTATGTGGTGCTGAGGATCGAACCCGGGCCGCACGCATGCCAGGCGAGCGGGCTACCGCTGGAGCCACATCCCCAGCCCACGTTACTATTCTTTAAAGGAAAAAAAGAGAGACAATTAGAAACTACAGGATAAATATAAGACACAAAAAAACTGTGGTCCAAATCAGAAGCAAACTAAAATACCATGATTATGTGCAATCAGTGAAGGGCTCTAAATCAAAAAACTGTGTTAGGAGCTTTTCATGTGTCACATTATTTATCCTTCAGAACAACCCAATGAGATGGCAGAAGGAAATGTGATTCCAGCACAGGTCCTGGAAGACAGATGTGAACTTCCAAGTCATGGTCACACAAACCTTAGCACCACATGTCAGTGTTCCGGATCAATATTATAGGCTACGCTCATAGGACTAAATTGTGGACCTGGCAGAGAATTTCATGGAAAAGTGGAAGATCCAGTGTACAAAAGAAATAAATATGTGAGAAACAGGGTGAGAGTTAAAAAGATAATCAATAAAAGGATTTAAATAATATATTCATCAATTTGAGAGGTCAGAGAAGGGATAGCAGTGGAATAAATACTCAAAGTTTCATGGCAAAGAAGTAACAACCTAAATTTTATAAATTGAGAAATAGGAATAAAATCAGTTCACTTATGGAAGAATCCACCCAAACAACTAAAATCAGAAAGAAAAGTGTTGGTCTCTGGGGTGTAGGGCTGACTTGAGAAGATGCTTTTGGTAGTAAACTTTTCTGTGCTATTGGTCTTTTAAATCATGTGCATTCGTTCCTTTAATAAAAATAAAAAGGAATATTTAAATATAATTTTTTAAATATCTAGCCAACATTTCTTACATGATGTTTGAAGAAATGTTAGTATTAAATAAACTGCTAATTGGTTTCAGGGGGAAAAAAAAACCTTTCTACAAAAGAGTTTGAGAAATGCTACATGCTAATTCTATGCTTGGACATTCATAATGCATATTAGTCACTAAAATCTCGGAAAGGTCTGGTATTAAATGGTCCAGTATTAAATGTGTCAGGTCAGCCCCTGTGTCCATCACATGCTGATGGTATGGTTTTTAACAAGTTCCTTACTATCTGCAGTGGAGTGAACAATAGCCTTCCAAAAGATATGTCCAAGTCCTGACCTCCAGGATCTTTGAGTGTGTAAAAAGAAGAAGCGTCTGTAGATACAATTAAGGCATAAATTTTAGGATGAGAATGCAAGTATCCTGAGGAGAGGCAAAGGAAGGGATAGGGATGGGGCAAGGAGAGGGAAAGGAGAATGTAATGTGAAAATGGAGGCAGAAGCTGGAGTGATACATCTCCAAGTCAAGAACACCACGGGTTCCTGGCACCAGAAGATAGAAAAGAAGCTTGGGATGCTTTCTCCCCAGAGTCTCCAGAAACAACTAATCCTGCCAATGTATTGATTTTGGACTTCTGGTTTCAGGAACATTAAGAGTAAATTTCTGGCCAAGTGCAGTGCAACATGCCTATAGTCCCAACTATTCAGTAGGCTTAGGCAGGAGGATCGAAAGTTCAAGGCCAGCTTGGGCAATTTAGTGAAATTGTCTCAAATAAAGTAAATAAATAAAAAGGGCTGGGGATACAGTTTGAGGGTGGGGGGCCACTCCTGAATTCAATCCCCAACTGGATTGGAGGGGGGGGGTAGATGTAAAATTCTGTTGCCTTTAAGTCACCCAGTTTATGGTGTCATAGCAGCCGAAAATGAATATACTGCCCTATTCTCTGAGTGGGGTTCCTGTGACGATTCCAGAGGGTTATATGCAACCAGCCTTGGCACTGTTTGGCATATTTCAAATATTTACTCCTGAAATATTAGCTATCATTGCTGCTCTCATCCATTACCCCATCAACAGGGTCCTTTCAGATCTGGGTCTGGTGGGCTCAGATTCACTGTTGCTTCTTAGTAGCTCTAGGGTCTTGTTGGGGGCTTTGTCCTTTTCAGGATCCTTCTGCTTATATTCCTGGGAAGCATACAAAGTAGGTATAATTATAGATGGATCATGTGATACTGGGACTGCAGAGAATTGCAGCATATAGGATAAGCTGAAATGGGGGAAGGTGGAGAAGTCTAAAATTGACACTTGACCAGCAATTGGCTCATGGCCTCTCTGGCATCAGCCCCTTTATACTTTTACTGAATGTGTACCCAATGCCTGGCCCTGGGGACAAGGTCCTGACTGATGTGATCCTTCCCATTCTGTTCTCTATTCCTCCATATCCCTGTTCTAGGAGAAGCAACAGCCAGTAAACTGGTCTACAAATGGAAGTTATGATTCATGCTGGCAAGGAACAGCACCAACTCTGGCTGGGTAGCCCGAGTGGAGGCATTCAAGTGGCCTCCAGGAGGCTAACAAGGAGAAGCCAGAAGAATGAAGAGGAGCTGGGGGAAAGGGGGACAGAAAACTTCATAAACCAGGGCACTTTTGCTTATAATCTCAGTGGGGTCCCTAAAGAGCCTTTGCTTTTATGGGTAATATCCATTGATATGTATTGTATTAGAAAAGAAAAAAAATCTTAAACCCAAGCATACATTCTGGTAGCTGTCCAGAGGGATGATGTCATCACACATGAAGTAGCCGCGGCAATATTCC